TATTATAAATTTTTTTCCGAAATGATCCGTGATATTATAAAGGGTTCCAAAATTTTCCGCACATATAGTGAGGGGGGTATACATACCGCCCAAACTACAAAGTTTTAAAATCCCACCCAAACCCAAATCCCAAGTAGAAAAATCCCAAATCCCATTCTGGAAAAACCTTATTTGGGCTGCCATAATCCCAAACTCCAGTCAAATCCCAAACTCCATCCCAAATCCCAAATTCTGTTCCAAATCCTATCCCAAATCCCAAATCCCATCACGTGTCCCAAATCCCAAATTCCGTCCTAAATCCCATCCCAAATCCCAAATCCCATCACGTGTCCCAAATCCCATCACATGTCCCAAATCCCAAATCCCATCACGTGTCCCAAATCCCATCACATGTCCCAAATCCCAAATCCCATCCCAAATCCCAAATCCCAAATCTCATCCCATGTCCCAAATCCCAAATCCTATCTCAAATCCCATGTCCCAAATCCCAAATCCCATCCCAAATCCTATCCTACATATGAAAAAAACAGTTCCACAAAATATAGCAAATTATGCAATTAACCTATGAGATTCGGGAATTATAAAAATTTTTTTCATCGTAAATAAAAATATTGAACATTCGTAATTCATAATATTGTAGTGGCGTTCTATATTTTTAAAGCTTATCCAAGGCTCGTATAGATTTTTTTTTTACTTTATATAGTATTTACAAACTTCTAAACAACACAAAATTTAAAGGCATAGTGATTAAGGCTCCGACCTACAAAATGTTGCCACTATCTAATAATAGATTCGGGTCTTTAGGTTCTAGATCAACAACCAAAATGACTTTAGAACAACTGTTATCACTAGAAACACTTAAGTCCTTCTGCCCAAACATTACATATCTCGAAATTTCGTATATCGAGTTTTTCTCACAACTCTTAGATTTTATTGGTAATTTACAAAAACCACTTTATGGTGTTTAAGGTGTATTGATAACATTACACTATCGATGCAAACCAAACCCGTATGGGACAGTATTGACTTTTACCTAATTTGATTAATAAGTTCGGGTTATAATACAGTTACGATCAGGGTTGGCATTAGACAATGTCCAAATAAATTTAATTAAACTTTTGGACTATATCCAATTTATCCAGTATTTCTAAATAATTTTTTGGACCTTTAGGCATTGGACAATGCCCAATCGTGTCAATTGGACATATGTCCAATCGTCCAATAATTTTATTGAATAGATTTAATAATATAAAATTTAATTATTGTGTAGATTTTATAATTTAAAGTTCGATATTACTGTTATAATATACATGATAGCAACAAGAAATTACATTACACCTTTATTTCTTTATACTGGCAAAATTTAAATTTTCAACATATTGAAAATTTAAATTTTACCAGTGTAAATAATATATCGATATATCATTACGGCTCGGTTACCAAATCTGATTATTTGGTCCCTAAATTTAAATCCTAAATCCCGAAAAAATTTTGAGGCTTTTATACAGATAACGCGCCTAACCCATCCTTCTACTATCTAACCCATTTTAACGCACTTATTTGCATCTCTATATTATAATTCACCACATCACCACTCATAGGAACATGGGTCCGAGGGACTGTGTATACTATCACATTTTTCACAATGTTCTCTATTGAGATCGATTATTAGAGGTCGTGTAATTATAGCATTACTCTTTCCTGGGTGTACCTCGACCTTTAAGAATATAATTCCGAGTTTTTCTGTAATCACACCCTGGCAACTTGTTAAATGCTCGTTAAATGTTTCTTCGTTGTACTCGATACAATAAAATAGACACTTTGCCCATATTGCAACACTTCCATCTGGTGAGAAGGTAGATGGATATGCTAACGCACATCAATAAATACATTTACAATACTCTATATTCTGTTTACACGAAACACAGCATTCGTGTAAAGCTTCCTGGCCGCAGATAGGGCAAGTTCCATATCGGCATTTGAATGTGGTAAACCC